TGATATCGCCACATCAGTATAACGAGGGTGTTTTTCCCACCAATTGTGTGATGTCGAGGGGTCGGGTCCCCCAATATTAAACTCGTTGTACACAAGAAAAAAAAAATACTCGCAAAATACTCGCGTAAAACTCGCGCCAACTCGCGAAAAAATCGAGAAATACTCGCCCATACTCGCCAAAACTCCCGAATATTCGCGAGTTCTCGCGTAGCCTAACACTTGTACACCCGCATGGAGAGTGGGGGAACGCCGGGGACCCCTGGTGTAACGTACTTAGTGAAATAACACTTTCCAAAACCTAAGTCTGCCCGTGAAAATTTGGATGAGCGATCAACCGTGTCCCGTGAGGATGCAAGAAAATAAAAACAAGAGGCACATTGGAGCGAGGCCAGGTACTTGCGCGGTACTGCACTGTAATAGAGACGTAGCGTTGTTTACTACAGGGCTGTTGCACCACCGACTGTCTGGACCCACCTTGATATGTGCTCCATGTTATTCTCTCTTTCTCTCTCTCTCTCTCTCTCTCTCTCTCTCTCTGTTCGCAACGACCGTTGTTTACTACGCGCGTCTATAATGCACTATTGGGTACCCTGTTGGCGACCCGCTGCGGAGCGGAACAGCAACATTCCGTGCTGCTCGCGATGCAGTTATTGCAGGTAATGAAATCAAATGAAATCGACCACGAATATACGCTTATCTTAAAATAATAACCTGCATGAGCGTATGTCCGCTTACAGTGCGGTTTATCACCACGGCTTTCGGGGTGGCTGCGCAAAAATGGTAAACAGAGAGGTAGGCAACCCGCTCTACTGCCGTGCGTTGCTCCGCAGGGGCGCGCGCTAGGCTGTGCCCTCCATGGAGGCCCTCGGTGGGCCCTCCACGGGGTGGGGAGGGCAGAAAGAGGCCCCGTTTGCGATCATCACATCACCGGTTGGGTGGTCTGCGTTTCCCCCTCCCTCTCCCTTCCCTCGGCCTGCAGGACGGGATGGTGCTCGCTACTAGAGCTGCCCTCTGCTTCACTTGTAAAGTTATTTTTATCGAACTTGGATTGAAAATGCACTGTTGCACATGGCAATCTTGCATATTTGGTAGCCTCTTCTACGTAGAACCCAGGGTTCAGACGTATGGACGCCTCATACGTCTAGCGAGTCATCAACATCAGTTTTATTGTAGGCATCATATCATGGCACTTGTAACGCTGATCAAAGGTTCTGTAAATTTTAACGTAAAGAGGGAAAATTATCGATCAGTGCCTCTTACGGCAAAAGAACATGACCTTTCCTGGTTGTCCTTCTCTGAAAACTTGCCTGGTACTCGAAAGTCTGGACAGCGCTATAATACCCCCTCCCAATATGAGGCAGACGCACGGACCGACAGATATGCCGAGTGCTGCTTACACAGGTCTCTCTTTCTTTCTATCCCTCTCTTCTCTCTTTATCCATTCCCCTTCCTTCCCCGTGTAACGAAATTAATAAAACAAATACACGCCAGACAAACGAATAAAATAATGAAGAGGGTAAAAGCCGGCCGACCTAAGAACCATCAGCGCGCGGCGCGGTCGCCGCCATCGGCGGTAGCAGAGAGAGCGAGCGAGAGCGAGAGAGAGAGAGAGAGAGAGAGAGAGAGAGAGAGAGAGAGAGAGAGCAGGTAGGGCAGACAAGGTAGCACGCCGGCACTCAGCAGCCAAGCCGCAGGTAGCATCCCACTCCCAGTGTGGAAACCTCGAACGGATAACTAAGTGCCAGTGCGCCTTAACAAAAATGTGTCACCGAAATGGGTTTTATACCACCAATGCTGTAGATTGCGTCATATCGTGTCCCTAAAAGATGCGTGAGGCTCGTCGAGGGATTTGTGAAAGGCATAATACGGATGTAGGATGCATGGAAAATACAACAGTAGAATCGGCAAGTTTTTCGTAGAAATCGTTTTTATTATTTGCTGGTCTCTTATAATTATAGCTTTTTACACTTATATCTCATATTTACATTTCTCTGTACAAGCAATATTCACAAAATACATGAAATATTTGCATGTATTTGATTATAAGAGCAATATATTTTTACATTCATGGTGTACATCACGTCTTTAACATTTAAACACGCCATATATTTACAATATTCACATGGCAAATAAATATAAAATTCCTTAATACAGGTACAAAATATATGCTGCCTTGTCTGCATGGTACATTGTAGATACCATATAACATTTAAAATACATAGGAATCAAGTCGCGCTGCGCTGTCTGGGGTGGGGCTAAAAACCACAATTGGACGGAGATTAAATTCTTAGCTAAATGAAAATTAAAACTCTCATTCTGAGGTCTGGAGAACACACACTCCTCGCTCGCTTCGGCTGAAATCAAATATTAAGCGTGAAAGTAGTGTCAAAACAGGCCCGGACGTTCGTATAACTACTCTCTCTCTCTCTCTCTCTCTCTCTCTCTCTCTCTCTCTCTCTCTCTCACACACACACACACACACTCAAAAAACACACACACACACACACACTCACGCCCCCCTCTCTCTTACACACACCGACACACGCTAACACAGGAATTACCACGGCACCTGTTCGAATAAAAAAGTAACAATAAAATCGACATTCGCCTGAGCCAAGCGAGGGGCGCATGTGTGTCAGGACGAGATGAAAGCCTGTTCCAGGAAAAACAGGATGCCGAAACGAAAAAAAAATGTACATCTCCTATTTTCAAGAGATTTTCAGAATCCCTCTTCCAGCATCTTCTATTGTTTGCAAGGAAGGCCCCTGCCTATTATCTATCCCTAATGGTATTTGGCGCTTCGCCATAGTTCTCCTACATCATAGCACCGTTGATTCATTTATGGCAATTATTTCGTTTACTCATTTACGTACTAACATTTCTTTTCTCACATTTTTTTCTTTCATGACGAGAAGTTGCTAACACAACAACGAATCAAACTAATAATAACACAGGACATACTTTCTCCTTGGCAGTTTTGATCATCAACTGATGGACTAGATCTGCCAAATTTCTTCCCTCGCATACTTCCATTTGCATCACATAATTCAAAAAATAAGGCTAAACAACATAAATAACAAGTCATGTACAATTGCGTGAAGAGCGTACTAAAATTACATAATCACCACATCATATCAACATGCTGCACACCACAATTAACTAACAAATTTCAACAAAGATTACAAATCACATAGATAAGTTGTTTTCATTAATTTGCAACTTCGAGAGACAGAGCTTTGAACGTATTACAGGATACAATGTACGGACATTACCAAAAATATTAATAAATTATCTTTAATTATTCAAACGGATTCAACACCATGATGTGTGAACCCGTCGAGACCAGACAAGGGAAGCCCACAATATTATGCCGACCGTTTCGGCCGCAACATGGACTTTAATACTGAGGAGCTGATTTAGAGCTTTAACATTAGCCACGGCATCCGCGTAAATATTTGCTGAGGCATATTGATATTTTATGTCCTCGGGCGACATAAACTTTTGAAACGAAGCCCCGACACTTGACACTTGGTGACCACGAGATTCCCCGACTGGTCCGCTTTCGATGCTCCACAGCCTATTCCGCTTAACGGCTCTCCTGAGTACCAGGTGTAATTCAGTGGGACGTTAATAGGAATAGGCTGTAGAAACAGAACTTGCTCACTGGGACCGTATATACGTGTGCATATATAGAATCAGTGACATAGCAGGAAGGAGGAAGCGGTTGCAAAACTACCGAGCAACACGAAGTGATGGGAGTCGTCTCTTGGACTGATTTTCACATTGACTCAAGTATGTTAGGGAATAGCACAAAACGCAGGGAAAAAAAGGATCGTACGAAGTGCACAGTATGTCTTTCCCAACAGTGCACGGCGCGGCATCATGCCCGGGTATGGGCCGCTCGCATGGCGACTCGCATGGCACAATTCACGAAGCTGTGACTTGGGCCGTTTAGATAAGGTGGCAAGTTAGAAATAACACGTTGGACGGCATTTGACTGGCCTGTCCGCATTCTGGACAGAGATGGGGAGGGGGGAGGGACCCGCACGGCGGACGAGCACAACGGGAAAAACGGACCAAGAGTCAACTTTTCTAAATTATATAAAATAATTTAGATTTGATTTAAAACAATAACAAAGTAATCTCTTCATTGGCTCTAAAACCTTTGGCAAATGCGCTTTGGCGCCACTGCCATAGGAGCGCAGCAAAGTGTCTGGCTTTCTAAAAGTCGTAAAAAAAGTTCATTTCTTTTTCTGGCGCGGTCCGGTGTTGAACTCGCGGACCGGTGCTCGCGCGCAGCACATGCTACCTACAGCCACAGCCGATGACGGCCATGTCCTGGTAGTTCTTGAGCACCACCTTGCCCTCCTCGTCCGTGTAGAGCATGGATATGCTGGTGAGCTGCGTGGGGACGCAGCACGCCTTGGGCACGGCGCCGGGGTTCACCGAATGCATGAGCGTCTGCACGATGGCGTGGTTGGTGGAGTTGAGGTGGTCCGCCATGGGGAACGGGCAGTCGCCGTGGCAGTAGTACGCCTCGTACCCGGGTGGCGCGACGATCCAGTCGTTCCAGCCCACGTCCGCGAAGTCGACGTACAGGGGGTGCCGCCGACAGTTCTCGGTGCCGTTCTTTCTCTTGTGCTTCCGGTGGTGGTGGCTGCCGTTGTGGTGGCCGCCCTGGTGCGCGCGCTTGGAGCGCGGGGTGGACCGCGCCGGCCGCTTGGGGATCCGGCCGTCGTCCGTGTAGGTGAAGAGCAGCGGCTGCACGTGCTTCCACGCGTGCTCGTCCTCCTCGGCGTGCCGGCGCAGCCTGACGTGCCGGTGCGCGTCCGCCCTGCTGCTGCCGTTGGAGGCCGCCATGCTGATGAGCAGGCCGTGGTTGCCGGCGGGGTCCTCGATCCACCGGTGCACCGCCGGCAGCACGTCCAGCCGCACGTCCTCGCCCTGCCGCACGTCCACGACGCGCTGGTCCACCAGGCGCGTGATGGGCCCGCGCACGCCCCGCACCCCCGGCCGCACGATGTCGTGCACCTGGACCCGCAGGCGCACGTCGCCGACGTCGTTGTCCTCGTCGCCGTCCTGGTGGAGGGCGCTCCGGCTCAGCTGGAGCTCGGCCGCCTCGAGCCGCTCCTCGCGCGGCACGCCGCCCTGCCCGGCCACGTCGAACATGAGGCGGAACCGGTCCGGCCTCCGGAACGTGGCGTCCACGCCGCTCGCTGCAACAACAGGAAGGGGCACGTCAGCACGGAACGTCATGGGCAGAACGTCACGGGGAGCGTCACAGCGCACGTAACAGGGGGGCGAGAGGGCGTCCCTTCACCCTATTGGCACAGGCCGTGTGCGCGCGCTCCCCCTCGCCACACAACGACAAGAAACAATCATAAATTAGGTCTCTATCGCGCGAGAAATATGTCACACCCTCTCCCTCCCCGCCTCTCCTCGCACAAATAATGCTCTTTCGCATGGAGCTGCGGCCAGGCCAGCCATGAGACCAGCTCGGAGGTGTATGACTTATTGCCGCGATTATACAGGAAGGCTATGTTTTTAGTTCCCCCCTCCCCACTCCCGCCGCTCTACTCCCCCCCCCCTCTCTTTCCCTCCCACTCTCATCGTATTCCCTCCTTGTTTTTCATCTGCAATATTAAAAACGAGCGAGAGGAGCGGGAGAAACACAGGCCGGCGCGCTGGTGGTGTTTTTATGCGAGCGCCGGGGCAACAAAGTTGCACCAATCCGCGTGCAGTCCACACACACGCACGCACGCACGCACGTATACGCACGCACTCTCACGCGCACATGGCCTCTTGTTATTCCTGCTGTCAATGCATGCGAACAGGTCGAACCAGCGCCTCTCTCTGTACACCGGGACGCATTGAGGCGGTGGTGCGCGCAGCAGCGCACGCATGAGGACGCCCGGACAATAGGCAATACGCGGTGCTGGGCTCGTATAGTGCGTCGGCCGCGCCTTATATAGGGCCCTGGCGATAACACAAACAAACGCACGCACACGCACGCACGCCGCACACATCTGCGGTTACGCAAAGCCGCTATTCACGGTGCTGCCTAGGCGAGGAGCCGCCAGAGACCGAAGGACGAATGATCGAAATGGGACCGCACGGAGACCACCCCATCCCCATCCCCGATCCCTGACCCCGGGGGATGCTCACCTTTATGTGGGAAGGATCTGACGGTGTTGGCTGAGCGGGTGAGCCGGCCCGGCAGCGGCAGCGACGCCGTGTCCAGGTCCATGCCCGTCTGCTGCTTGTACAGCCGCACCATCGCCTCGGGGATCACCACGTTGCCCACCGGCTTCGGCCTCTTGTTGAAGCCGAACAGCGACAGCAGGTTCTTCTCCACGGTCTGCAGCACCTCGGGGGATGGCCGGGGGCGTGGCGGCGTGGCGGCGGCGGCGGTGGTGGCGGCGTCGGGGACGTCCTCGGCGTCCAACTCCAGGGCGTGCGCGGGCGGGGCTAGGGGCGTCAGGAGCGTCGCTAGCACGAGCAGCACCATCAGCAGCCCGCGCATGGTCGCTCGCACTCCTGCGGACAGAGAAGAAGGGCATGTCCATCAGTCACAGGCTTCCTCCCGACGACTTGAGTGAGTCACTCCTTCCCCTCCTCGGGGGCGCGGGCCCGGGGCGCACTTCCTGTCCTCGCACCTGCAGTGGTGCGGGGTCCTGCGGGGTCTCAGGTGACGCGCGGAGGACCCTCCTCCTGGCACGCCACTAGACGGACAGCCCAGCCGGCCGGTGGGCAGACAGACAGTCTCGGCCCTTTGCTCTTATCTAACCGGCCTGGCCTGCGCATGGCGCTCATACGCCATGTCTGTACCAAAAATACCTCGCACACCACCACTTTGACGCGTGCCGGACGAGGGGGGAGGGAGGGTGGGGGCAAGGAATGCAGGAGCGTTATGGAGAGAAAGCCGTCGTCCTCTCCCCTCTTCTCCTCCCCTCTCCCTGGAAGCCCTACCCGCCCTGCCTACCTGCCCTCTCGCATATTTATTGACATTCTTTCCAGTATGGTTCTTATCTGGTCCGGTTCGCCCCGCCCGCCCCTCGCCGCTCCAGTTCCAGTATGTTCCAGCTGCTGTTTGTGGCCCTCGGATAGTTCGCCGCAGCGCCGACAGGGGCGCGACATGTCTCCTTTGCCTTGACCAGCGGCACAATCCGCTCTCCGCGCCGTTTATGCGCTTTAGAAAATATTGTTGCACTGGCCAAGTTGTTGTCCCGCCCCGCCCGACGGCTCGCTAGAGCGGGCACGGGGTGGGTGCGGGGCGGGCAGGACTTGCTGCTCGGCCCTGCCCGCCGCGCCAGCCAGACTCCAGCCAGACTAACCTGGCCGAGTTCCAGCGGCAGCAGGACCAGAGGACAGCCCTCCCGTCCCCGCGCAGTGCCACGCGCCGCGGCCGCGTCGCGGCTGTGGTTTCGCGATCGGGAGCCTTTTATCTTAGCGTGAGCGGGGGAGTAAATAACTAAAGCACGATGAAAAATATGAAAACATTGCCCTGGCCCCGGGCCGCTCTGTCTGCGACGTCACTGGGTTCGCGGAAATGAGACGACTGTAGCGGCAATCTCAGTGCTTGCAGGGCGTACGACGGGGCCGCGAACGCGCTGCCCCCCGGTGATAAGTAAGCCAGGGAGTGACCGAAATAGAACGCCCCGCCGCGCCCCGCCCCGCGCCCGTCGCGCGCGGCCAGGCTCCAACCCTGGCGGACTCCAACGTCATCTGACTCTGGCTCGGCTCCGCTGCGACCGCGCTCCGCCACGCCCCGGGGAGGTGACCGGTCTGGCGGGTACCTGTACCTTCCTCCGAGAGAGGTACCCGGGACGGTCCCCCGCGGCGGCACCGCGCAGTCCGCGCAGCGTGGCGTGCAGACCCCGTTCAAAAGGCAAAGAAGAAGAGGAAGAAACAAATAATAAAAATAAAGAACGGCAGGCTGCGCTTAGGGAACCGAATCTGCGACGACCTGATCGCACGCCTCGGCGCGAGCCTCGCAGGGAGCTGCACCAGCAGACATGACCGGCCAGCGTGGAGCTTGCTCAGTCCTGAGGAGGCCGCCGTCGAGGAGGCTACGGCGGTAGGCCGCGGCCGACACAACGTCCATCCCGGTTGGCAAGGTGTCGTCGCACTTTTTATGCATTTTCGTCCCGGGCCGGTCTCGAGACGAGATGGGACTGGTTCTACGGGAGGGGGTATTGGGGGTGGGGGACTCACCTCAGGGCACTCCCGCACAATCCCGTCCTGCCCCTATCCCTCTCGCACTGAACATCACCTGAGGAGGGTGCAGACCGTGCCCTATCCGACGGTGACGGCGAGGTTCGTTTTCGGATTAAGTGACGTGCCCTTCGGAAAGCGATGCGATGTCGATGTCCACCGGGGGTCCGCCTCCCCCTCCCCCTCTTTTCTCAACGCCTACCCGGGAGCCCTACCAGAAGAGCGAAAACAATCGCCTAATTCCTGCAATCCCCCCGTCAATGGAATTAGTGTTTCGCTGGAAGACGCTCTGGACCGCGCGCGTGCGGCTGCGTTCCCCCGGCGTGCGCACGGCTGACCCTGTCCTTGTCGCACCCGAGCGGCCCCTGCCAGGGGGCTGGAGAGGGCGAGCGAGAGAGAGAGCGAGAGTGCGGTGTGATGACTCGGACACAGGCATAAGTGGGGTCCTCGAGGCTCTGCCCCCGCCCCGGGGTGGCCGTTGCCCCCGCCCGAGCCCGGCAGAGTCCGGCTCCCGAGGCTTCCAGGATAGGCCAAGGCTCCGGCGTGCACAGCACAGCGCAGCACCTCGAAGCGTGGCCGTGACTTCTCGTCAAGGGCTTAGTGCTTCCAGAGGTAAGTAAGAAGGGGGGCAGGGGGGAGGAGGGG